AACAAAGAAACATCTCATTAGCATCATCATGTTGAAAAAGAAATATTAGCAACACACGCATGTAGACTTGTATATCAAAATAAATTTTTTTTTTTGATGCTGTTAACTGTTGTATTAAAAAGAAAGGAATTACAAGAGGTACCCCACAGATCGGGCCTCATGCCAAAAAGAATAGACTACCCTAGAGGGGCAGCCCTATACAAAAAATGGTTTGGCCTAGTACCAAACAACCCGATTGGAGAAGGTATCGAAAAACCAAAAGTAAGCTAGTACATCTGCCCTGTACCAGTAGGAAAAGGAAAAAAACCCAAAAATCAGTCTATGAATGCCCCGAACTGCTGGATGACGCTCCCTCTTTAGCCAGTTGTTTCGCTAGGGTATTAGATTCTCTCCAGGTATGCTTCCATAAGACGGCCATATCCCTGCAAATATGGTTATTCTCATAAAAAATCGAAGCCAAATGCCAAGGTGGGGATGCCGAGCCTGTGGCTCAGATGATAATGTTTTGTGCATCTCCCTCCACAATAAGTGGTTGCGCCCACGAGGGGTCGAAGAGCTTGAGGCCGGTGAGGAGTGCCAAAGACTCAGCGAATTGGGGGTCAGTGTGGGCAATGTTCTTGGAGAATGAGGCAAGAATGTTGCCAAGGTTGTCTCGGAAGACCCCACCCACTCTTGCCCGACTGGGATTTCCAAAGGATCACCCGTCGAAGTTAGGCTTTGTGAGGCCGTCCGGGGGGGAGGGCCAGTTGCTTGATCTGGATACTCGAGGCTATTGGGTGTGGAGGATGTCTTTCCAGCGGTGAAGGAAAGTCTTGTGGTTGGAGGCCCAGAAAGCGACCTTCGAGGTGATTATGTGGAATAGGGCCGAAGGTTCACACTTGTTCCCTCAGAAGATCCTCGAATTCCTCTCCATCCAAATCACCCAAATCGTGACTGCTATGGAAGTTTTCCAGAGGAGCTTACCAGCAGTTGGCCACAATGTCCCTTGAAAGGTTGAAAAGTACCGGTAGGGAGGTAGGAGTGACCCAGGAAAGGTCGTAGAGATGGAGGAGTAGGCTCCAAAGTTCGTAGGCCAGTCTGCATTGTATAAAAAGGTGGGTTTGGTCTCTTCCTCATGGGTACACATCACATAATGATTGGGGATAGGAACTCCCCTTAGTTGGAATTGATCGACAGTGAGGGTCTCTTCGGAGCATGCAATCCAATTGAAAGCTTGCACTTTAGGGGGGGCAATGGATGATCAGACTTGGGCTGCAATTGATTTCGGAGAATGAGGAAAATTGGGGAGTAACAAGAGTTTTTTATAGAAGGATACACCGAGAACCACTAAGCGGTCGGGCCCAGAAAGGGCTAGGAAGTTTGAATGCAGCAAGGAGGATAAGGAGAGGAAGTTTGTGGTTTCATGATCTGTAAGAGGGCATCTGAAGGATGGGTTCCAGACTCTAATGTTGCCTGACGGGGGCGTCTCGTCTACGATTGAAGATGGCTTGTTGGTTGCTATAGTGAAAAGAGAAGGGGGGAGGTCCCTGAAAGGGTTGTGGCCCAGCTAAAGGTCGGACCAAAAGCGGATCTGACAGCCTTCCCTACGATGGAAGCGAATATTTTTCTGGCAGAGATTGAGAGAAGACAAGAAAGATTTCCAAGCCCCTGATGCTCAGCTCGAGGTGCGCCCTTCCGGCAGCTAATTGTTAGAAGGCATCTTGTATTTGCAGTGAATTACTTGAGATCAGAGCAGGTCGGTTTGTGTAGCAAGGTGCCACCACCATTTGCCAAGCAAAGCGGTGTTTTATGTTTTGAAGATTCAGATGCTTAGTCCGCTTAGGTGTTTGGGTTGGCAAACTTTTTCCCAAGATATAAGCTGGTATTTTTTGGCATCAGCATCTCCTGCATACAAGAAGTTCCTCATCAACTGTTCTAAGCGGCTGGCGACTGCCGCCGACATGTGGAATGGGGACATAAGGTACACGAGGGTATTGGCTAGGGTTGCCTTGATGAGTGTGGATCCAAAGGAATCTTCCTTTCCACCTGGTGAGGTGTCTATCGACTTTGTCAATAATATGGGACCGCTACCTCTTTTTAGGTTTTGTCGAGGCCCAGTGGCATGCCAAGGTAACTGGTAGGAAGGTCTTCCACTTTACAATCCCAATCAGGAATGAGAGCTCTTGTTTCTGACATAGTGAGAGGAACACCTATCATGGTCGATTTCTCCATATTGACTTTGAAGCCCGTTGCAAACTCAAAGCATTTAAGAAAGAGATGCAGTGTTTCAGTTTCTTGTGGGGCCGCATTTAAAAAACTAGGGTGTTGTCAACATACTGTAGGTGAGAGACGATGAGGCCCCTAGGGCAGCTCTTGAAACCTGTTAGGAAAACATACGGGTAATTGATTGGCTAAAGACCTTCACTGAGATCCCAAAGCGGAAAGGGGATCTCCTTGTTGGAGACCTCTAGATGATAGGAAATAACCTTTCGGAGTTCAGTTGATGAGCACGGAGAAGAAAGGCCGAGAATAACAGCCTCGCATCCACCTCTCCATTGCTTCCTGAAACCCATCCGGTTCATTGTTTCGTCCAGGATGTCCCAATCCATGTGGTCATACACCTTTTCCCAATCGATCTTGAAAATAAGACTTGGTTGTTTAGCCAGGTGCCTGGAATGCAGGCATTCATGTGCCATTAGTATCCCATCTAGGATCTGCCTATCTTTGATGAAGGCACTTTGGGAGAGGGAGATCACGAAAGGGAGGACCTCTTTAGCCTCGAGGCAAGCACTTTGGATAGGATTTTATAAGTGGAGTTCACCAAACTAATTGATCGGCCTTGAGTTCTTCAACACCTTCAATTTTGGGAATGAGGGCAATAAAGGTCGTGTTCATGGCTTTGTGGATAATTCCTCGATTGAAGAATTCTTCAAAAAAGTCCATAAAATTGGATCTGAAGGTGTCCCAAAAAACCTTGAACGACTGTCCATGCTCGGGGCTTTATCATTACCCATATCAGCTAAAGCCGCTAGGATTTTAGGTTCAGTAAACGGCCGTTCCAAACATTGAGCCCAATGGTCTGGAACATAATGGAATCGTAAGTCAGACATCCTGGGTTTGGGTCCCGAAGGAGCAGTGTAAAGTGTTTTGAAGAAGGAGAAAATGGCTTCTTCAATGTTATCTACATATTGTAAAATTGAAAAATATTTTTTAGCTAATTTTTTTTTGAGAGAATGTTGCTTTGGAAAGTAAGCATGCTAGATGCATAAGTGCGAACTAAAAACATCTCATGTACAAAAAACTATGTTCACATGCATTCAGTTGTAAAAAAGATGTTCATGTATGATTTGTTTGAGCGGAAATTTTACTTTGGAAACAAAGTAGGCTGTAGGCATGATAGAAGCTTAAAAACCAAACCCAGAACATCTCATTGGCATCATCAAGTTTAAAAACACCTAGTGATTCCCACATGCAAACATGTATTAAGATATTTTCACATACATTCAAAGGTTTTTTTTTTAAAAAAGTTTACTTATGGATATTGTTTCGAGAGTGCGACAAAAATATAACGGGCTTTGTTTTATTTGTCCCCCCCAAAAAAATAAAGAAAATTCCTTTCCAGGATTCTAAATTGAACAAAAGAAGCCCATATATCTCGTACCCAAAGTTTCAAACCTGATCCTTTCAAACTTGTACTCCATTCAAATTGTGGCCTCCAATATTTACGAAAAGATCCTAAAAAGCCACAAATCAGAACCCCTGAGGTATCTTTAGGTTTCAAGTTTGACACAATCAACAGATTGCGGAAATATCATCCAAACTCCAAATCAATCTCAGATATATTACATTTTGTTTTTGTCTTTTGGGTAAATCTAAGCCTTATATCTGGAAGACGACATCTACATTAGCCCAAACCCTTTTCTTGAAGTCCTAGAACCTCGTCCTTGTGGCTAGAAAGTGAAAAAAGAGGTTTTGGCTTTTTTCCTCTCTTTTGAAGTCACAGAACTGTATCGAACTCAGCAAGTCTGTACAGACTCAGGTAAGATGTGGGAACTGCCTGTCTCTGCGCAGAGCCGCTCAGTTTGATACAGTGTTCCGGCAGGGCGGGGTGGGGCGGGGTGGGGGGGGGCGGTCGGTGATGAGTTGGAGCCCTTGGGAACTGGCAGGATGTCAGTTCCGGTTGACTCAGGTGAGTCCAAGTCGGAGTCACCAAGTTTTTGAAAACTGATCCTGGCTGTAGCAGTCTGGGGACCCTCCATAGAATAGCCCCTACTGAGAATGGTACTTGGTCATTGAGCTTTCAAATTCCTATTTTGGATCCTTGCAGGTATTTATTTTAATTAAGATGGAATTGTTATCGAATAACTGTGATTGATGGGCATACAAATGAATAAATTAAACATCACTCTTTGATTCTCCGATCAAGTAAATACTTGGCATGCTACATTCACTGAGACTGCACAAATTGGTTTTACGTATGCAAGTTGCCTGGACATGCTGCGGCCTCAGTTTTTTGAGGGCATGTGCTGACCCATTGTTCTATCAGTACCATTTAAATTGGTTTTACGTCAATTGGTGTACAAAATGGTTCTACCTGTATGTGTCTTTTCTGAAGGTTGTTTATGCTATGAATGGTCACAAGCATCACGTTTGTTTATGCCCTAGATTTTACAATGCTGTGCTTCTTCTTTTTGCCACTAACAAAACCCAAAGTGCTGGCTATAGACAATCAAATTGAATCTGATATCTATATGGATGAGTTGCTGGATTCTTGTCAATCTGGTTCCCATTATAAGAAATAAAAATGTAATCCATCTGGTTGCTATGCTAAACATCATTTTAACTCTCACCCTGCCAGGTGTTCAATTAGTCTACTTTTGTCGGCTGGTCATATAATCATTTTGATGCAATTTTTGTGGTGATTTTATGTTGATTTTATTTTCTGATGTGTATATTTATAACTTGTTGCTTGGTAGTTTCACTTATATTGTACTTATAGCTATTTATATATTTCTTTCCAGAATAACTTGGATGAGCTCTTCATGCTGATGCATTTTCTTGATGCTGGAAAGGTTAGTCTCGGTGCTCTATATTTACACTGTATGACTATTCTTTGTAAAAGTGAAAATGCATATCTGTTTAGAATTTTTAGTACAAATCTTTTTATTCATGGTTGAAATGCTTGTAGTTTGCAAGTTTGGAGGAATTCCAAGAGGAGTTCAAGGATATTAACCAGGAGGAACAAATTGCCCGCCTTCATAAAATGCTAGCGCCCCATCTCCTCCGAAGTAAATTTTATATCTATGCAAAAAGTCTTGTTTGAATTGTGTTGACATGTTTTATGGAGCGGTAGTCTCTTATGGGGATATTGTAATTTTCTTTACTAAATGTCTTTGGTTTTCATATTGTGCTGGCGAAAAATCTAATTCCTCACCTTGTTATGTTTGGTCTGCACTGGTAGAATGTATGATCTTCATTTCTTTTCCATAGTATATATTTAGTTGTTTCTTATTGGGAGCCTTTTTGGGTATTTAGTGTATTGTAATTTATGCATGATGTTAGAATCTGATGTCGTCTTTTCCATAGCATATTGCCTCTTTTTGCCAGATCTGCTTGAAGTAAAAATATCCATGATATCTATTAAAAAAAAATAAAAATCATAGGGATAGCCATTTACCTATTATTAGTTTTATGGCTCCCTAGGAATGTCCTAGTACCAACCCCCTGCTCACATTTACCAAAGTAAAAGAAAACTTTGCTGCTACATGTTTCCTATCCATTTAAGCTTGAATAAACCAGTGCAATTCTTTTCATAGGTTCCCCTAGGATGCAAAGATGCAAATATATCCTCTCGATTTTAAGCGGGGCATTAAACCCCTTTGGTAGTAATTTATTTGTTACTCTGCTGTAGGAAAACTTGATGGGAACTTGATTCAGTATCTGCATAGTGGAGCTTTTTCTTTGTTTAAGGAATTGTATCTTTAGGTGGACAAGCCATTTCATGGTCGATCTACTTGTGGTGTCGATTGGCTTTGTTTTAGTCCTTGAACGATTGGTGTAATTCTGCTTCAGGGTCTTGCTGAAGTGAAAGACAAGAGTTCCTACTGAAGAATCCTGTCATTTCATCAATTGTTCTCTTTATTTTTAATTTTTAATTTTTAATTTTTAATTATATGACTACTTTAGCTGGAAAACCTTGGAAGAAATAATTGTCCTAGTGTACTCCCCATTATGGTGGGGAGTGCAGAAGGGGGAGCACACTTCATTTTTCCTAAATATGAGGAACCCCTTAACGCATGAAATACTCTGGTTGGGTTTTTTGTTTGTTGGGCATTCAAGCTTTTTATTTCAAGAGAAGCCTTTTACTCTTGTTATTTATTAATTTGTAATTTTTCTCTATCCAATCATATTCCTTTATATATACTAGTAAGATGCACCTGCGTAGCAGGTATCATGACATGATGTAATATTGAGATAAATACATTTTATAAGAAAAAATATAGTGAGTTAGAAAATATAATGATTTTCTATCTATTTTTCTCGGGAAATGAGTGATAGGAAATTGTTTAGTGAAATGAATAAATTGAGAGAATTTAAAGAATATTCTTTGTACTATAGTCTTGTTTACCTAAAACCCTATGTTTTCTTAAAAAATATGATCAGGGAAATTATAAAATCAAGTGCTAAAATAATACTTTCGATCTCACTTATAATTTTAAAAGAGTATATTTATCGTATTTATGAAAAGTTATTCATTATAGGAAAAATATTATTTATTCATTAATATCATTATGGTAATTTATAGTCACTATATATATAACTAGCAACATGCACCTGCTTCTCAGGTTTCGTTAAAATGTTGTGTTGATATAGGATACGAGTTTACTGAAATGATTGAATTGTTTATGTGATAATTTTACGTCAACACAAGATTTTGATATAAAATATTACGGGGAAAATATCAAAAAGAGGGTTGAAACTAGTGTTGTCAAATTCGCTTGACTTCGGCCGAAGAGGCTGAAGCCTTCGAATTTTAGGAATATACTAAAGCGAAGCGAAGCGTGTGCTGTTTTTTCGGTCAGATTCGGGTCGCTTTGGGCTGCTTTGGTCAGATTTGGGTTTGCTTCGGGCATTTGGGTCTGCTTCGGCTAGCAAAGAAATACCAATATAAAAGTATTTTCTTTATTTTTTAATTTTTAATTTGTAATTTTTCCATTTTTTATATATTTTATATATAAATATCTAATTTATTTATATTAAATTAAAAAACGTCCAAACTCTTCCCTCGAATCGGCTGAAGTAGTAAATTATTTCATTTTTCTCACCAAACCGATAAAGACTCCAAAGCGAATCTAACAACATTGGTTGAAACCCCTTAAAATAACACTAAAGGGGTCAAAATATTACATATCACACTGGAATTATGCTTTTAAAATTCTATATCAATCAGGTACATCCTTAAAAAATAAAAAATTTCTAAATTGCCCCTATTTTGTGTTGGGAAGCCAAAATAATTGGGGTACTTTGGTAATTACCCCTAATTATTATTCGGTTGAGGCTTCTTTGGGGTTAAAACTATTAAAGCAACCCTAATTGATTGAGCTTCCCAACACTGAATAGGGACAATCTAGGAATTTTTCAATATTGATATAGAAATTTAAAAGCATAACCTCAAATTAATTTGTAATCTTTTGAACCCTTTAATGGTATTTAAGGGGTTTCAAACCCTCTTCCTTCCCAAAAATTAACATATGGGGGTATTATTTTAGTTATAGTAAATTTAATTAGAACTATATTTAGTACTTAAATAAATTCATTAATATGATATGGATTTTATAATTATGATTATGTATGTAAAGTCTTAATAATCATAATTTCATTACTACCAACTTATAATTACATAATTCCATTTTATGAGTATGGGATATTAATAATATTCAATTGGGATTCTAGTTATTTTTGTGATTTTTATAATATTTGTTGCAATATTACAGTTAGGTTGTTAGTACTATTAATAGTATTTACATCTATAGTGATCTTTGATAGTATACTTTTACTAATACCAATAATTATTATAATTAAAATAATTAATTATACTAATTTAAGTTATTATTGATGAATTACTAAAATATCCCTTGAAGACCTTTGAATTCCATGCATGTCACTATATTTCTAGTTACCAAAGATTAAGCATATTTTATTCATTGTGGCATTGAACTAAATTTAGGGATGAATAGGTCGCAAATAGCCGCATATAGATAATTATTAAAAAATAGATATTGTCAAATAGCTATCGAAGGATAGTGACCTACTATTATTATTGTTTAAAATACTATATAATTATATAAATAATTATAATAGTGGTAATTAAATATGGGTGAGGTTTGTATAAGGTTGCGTCCTTAAACTGTAGAAATAAGGCGCATCTTAAAATTTGTTTAGAGATGTCATTCCGACATCAGAAACATTATGATAGCTTGAAAATCTATTTCTATCCCTATTTATAAAATTGAAAAATTCAAAATGTCACAGATTGACCAAATCAATAAACAGTTAAAAATCTTAAAAATAGACGGTCTAGATAACTCGTTACAAGATGCAATATTTTTTGCATTTGGAGTGCTTTTCCTCTTCATGTCCATACATCTTGAGGTCGAAATGATCAAGAGGTTTTCCCTGCAGTGGAACACTTCTTCTGTAGGATTTTTTAGGTGCACCTTAATTCAATAGTATAAGGTTGCAACCTTATGTAATCCTTTTCCATTAAATATATAGTAATAGGGGTTTATTTTAAGGTATTATAATTTCATTATGATAAGAAAACAAACTAATGACACCGGTTCTCTTTAACAAGATAACCTCCTCGGTCATTTTTGGGCTACCAACCACAAGAGATTCAAGGGTGTACCCTCCTCTTCTTTCCATTTAAAGTGGCAATCCTTGTATAGCTCCCGCCCGCCATGCATTTCCCAGGCTAACAATTGGACCCCTCCCTCCTGGGGGCAATCAAAAGCTTAATTTTGACCGGTGCTCTCTTTGTAACCTTAGTCCAGCCGGTGTAGGTGGCACCTTCTGGGACCGCGAAGGACATACTTTGGCTTCCTTCTCCAACCATATTGGCCATACCGACTCCCAGCTCGCTGAGTCCATGGCCCTTCTCTCCGGTCATAAGCTCTTCAACTCCTCCTGGGGTCAACCCCTAATTGTTGAAGGAGACGGCAAAAATATTATTTCCTGGGCATTTGACTCCTCATCTTGTCTTGGTACCTTGCCCGATATTTGATAAAATTACTCACTTTTGCTGGGATATAGTCATCTTTTGGAGTCATACTTGGCGGGAATCCCATGCCCTGGCAGACATCCTTGCTAAGGACGGAGGCCTCAACAGGTTTTGAGATTTCACAGCTTATCTCCATGTATTTTTGTCTATATTTACGTGGGTTAACTTATATAAACTAATCCCTTTTTTCCTATAGGGCTACCATTATATAGTACGCGGGATTTTTGGCTAGAGTCCGGCTTATGGGTGTGTCTCTACACTCTCTTGTAATCTCTTTTCTTATAAATAGAACAATCAACATATTAAAAAAAAGCATTGTTACTTTTATTATATTTATTATTATTATTACAATAATTATGAATTACAATAATGATTAGCATTGTAATTATTTCAAATTTTATCCATTACTAATCATAATTATAATTATTGTCATTATAATAAGTTGTTTGGTATATTAATTATCATCATATGCTAAGTATGACTATTATTGTTATGGTATATACCTATAATAATATTGTTGAATTAATTACTATTAATCTATAATAAATATAAAGTAACTATTCAAATAACTATGAATTATAACGATTATTAGACTTACAACTAATACAAATTATAATACATCATTATAATAAATTAATTACTATATAACATCACGGAATGCCCATAGGCGAAAGTGAGCAGTGTTTTTGCCTATGGGCTCGCCCCTGTCTAATTTTTTTGGATGACGGGGAAAAATCAACCACAACGGACTACCCGCAACAGAAGTGCGATTGTGGGGCCAAATCACTGTACACTTCCGCACATGGGCGTTTTTAAGAGTTTTTCATTAATTACATAATCGAATTGTGACTATGGAACATATGGAAAGCAAGTTTAGTAATGATAGGAGTAGAAACGAGGTAACAATTAAGAACTTAAGATTGCTGGCTAAGAACTATCTAAAAGAGAGATTATTTTTGATATCTTGGGTTGATAATCCATGAGAATGGAGAGATTGAGGAAGATCTCATACATAGAATTGGAGGTGAGTGGGCGAAGTGGAGATGTTTGTTCGGTGTCTTATATGTGCATACTAATGAAATTGAAGGGGAAGTTCTATAGGACGGTTGTAAGACCAGCCATGCTTTATAGGTGGAATGTTGGGTGGACAAGAACCAACATATCTATAGAATGAGTGTAGATGAGATGAGGATGTTGAGATGGATGAGTGACAAGACAAGAAATGATTGAATTCAGAATGAATACATCTAAGGGAACTTAGGAGGGGTTCCAATAGGTGATAAGATGAGGGAAAGTAGACTCAGGTGTGCTGGCCATTTGAAGTATCGACTTAGAACATCGGTGACTTATGGTCATACTCAGGGTCTTACTCAATTAAAGTGGAAGGCTCTAAAAGAGTAGGGTGAAGGCCCAAAAGGACATGGATCGTATTGAGAAGAGATGTGGTGACTTATGGTCTTACTCAGGGTATGAACCCTTGATAGAGTGGAATGTTGGAGCAAGATTCTGATAGCTGACCCTAAATAGTTGTGATAAGGCTCGGATGATGATGATTTATTATAAAACTGTAATAAAATACTACCAATTATTTGTGATTGATATGGATATTATATGAATTAGTATGTATATTAGAAATATGGGTTTCATAAATTATCATGTGAAAGAAAGTGCTGTTTTTTTGGAAAAGAGAGAGGAAGTCATAATTTTTTAGGTAAAGAGATAGAGAGAGGTTTTGTGGATGGCATCTCATTCAATATTAAATTTGAATTTAAATATTTTAGGAGTACAGAGAGATATAGTGACACCCAAAAATAGTTGCATCTTGTTCATAAAAGATAAAGATAGGGGAGATGTGAGATATGATTGTCAAAAGGACAAGTGAAATATAGTAAAAATCATTAGGACAATGACAAATCAACCAAAAAAAGGACACTTGCCACAAGAATAAAAGAAGTCACCCTCTCGCTTAATATATTATATATAGCGAGCGAGAGAGAGAGAGAGAGAGAGAGAGAGAGAGAGAGAGAGAGAGAGAGAGAGAGAGAGAGAGAGAGAGAGAG